ACGGTTTGTGCGATTGCTTTGGTGGCTCTGGTGTTGAGCGTCTTCAACGTCCTCGTGAGAAGATTCCCCTGCCCTTCGAAGTTATTGCAAGCACCACGAGTGGCACGAAAGATGTGGAATCATTGTCTCAACTGCAAATAAGCAGGCCTTCACAAGCAACAACGATGCCGAGCAGGCGCTCGGCAGTTGTGGTGTCAGGATACCTAGGTTCGACATTGTGTACATGTTCCTTTTAAAAGTACACGGAAGTGACGTCATCACGTCTGATTGGTTGGAAGCAAAAGTGACATAATTTCCCTAGAAAAATGTGGGCGGAGTCGGCAAAACTGGGCGGAGTCGGCTACCGGACGTGACAACAACGTGACGTTTTGTTTTGTACCGAGTACGTTTCAAAAGGTACTTGCTCAGAACTAGGTGCCATTGGCAGCATGTTTTCGGCGGCGAAGCGTCGCCGTCTCGTCAATTCTACTTTTTCTTTAATAGAGCTTTTTTTTTCGCCCAAAAGGCTGTATCGGGAACACCGCGATGCATTCAAGCTCCCGGAGGAGATCTTTCGGAAGCAATACCGCCTGCCTAAGATCGTGGTGCGGTCGTTGTGCGACAAACTTCGCGAGGAACCGGAGGTGAGGAGAGTGCGTAGCTCCTGGATGGTCATAACTGTGGAACTTCAAGTGTTGTGTGCACTGCGCTTCTATGCCACGGGGAGCTTCCAAGGCATGGTGGCGAGCGACGAACACGTAGCGCGGGACCAAAAGACAGTCAGCGTTGCGGTCCGCGCCGTGTCCGTCGCTATCGTGTGTCGTCTCGGGGTCCAGCGTGGCTGGATCCACTTCCCCGAGACGCCGAGCGAGAGGTTCGACGCAGAGAGGGGCTTCAAGCTGCTCGACAGGATACCCGGCATCATTGGCTGCGTTCGTCGGCCCGTCCAAGAATGACCCCACCGTCACGAAGGCGGCGTACCGGTGCCGCAAGTACTTCTACGTCCTCAACGTGATGGTGGTAAGTACACTCATGTTACGTAGTCAAAACACGCCCCAAATCTGTAGAAAAAAAATATGTATTGCCGATACGGTGTAAATATGCCGTTTTATGACTGCGGGCTGTGGAGTCTCACGACTGCGCGAGCATGTTCTCTACGTAGCATGTGAGCCGTGAGACGCTTCTCCCAAAAATAATACTTGACTGTTAAAAAGTGCAAGCTTCCGTCAAAAAAAAAAAAAACATTATTTTTGTTTCAAGGTAATTGTACCTTGCATCCAGGAAGGTGTGTTGACATGCATGTGTCAGACAAAATAACTTGAAAGGTTCTGAAATTGTGACTGCTTTGTGAACCATAAGTACAATCTACTACTTGTGGATTCAGGTAATTACATGTCAATATCTATCTCACTTTCAGGTGTGTGACGCCAACTGCCGGATAATGTGCATCGACCCACGGTATCCCGGGTCGGTGCACGACTCCTTCGTGTGGCAATTTTCCTGGCTCCGAAACCAACTCGAGCAAGGGCAGCTGCCAAGCGACGGCCGGTTCCTGCTTGGTGAGCATACTAAATTCATTCCTTATGCACACGGTGGCTCCCACTGCTTGGAAGCCGCAGTACCACACATACTGTGCTTGTTGTGAGGCACACAGACACAGTTGCTGGAACTCCTTGAAGTGAGACAACACCCAAAGTTTGGCCATTAATCTCTGTTTATGTCCACATAACTCTCACACTCTGCAGGCTACGAAAACCACACTACAGCAATCTCACGACAGTGATAGACTGCGCAAGGCATGCGACCGCAGTGCGAGTCGCTGTCTGGTTCGGCCCACTCACTGTTACTGTCTGCCTGTACCCTCTTGCTGGTTGGTTCTTGCATGAAGTTGGAGCTCTTTCGCTGATCCCTGGGGGCTCGCCTGGTCGCTTTGACGGTCGTCAGTCTGCACGGAATGGGATCAATTCCTCCTTGGCCACTTGGGGCTCGCCAAATCCGTCCTCGGGTCGTCTCTGTCCTGCACACTGGATTCTTTTCCCTGACCCTTCTTCTTCGGTCTGCCTACATAGCTCCTCTTATTAGCCCTCCGTGTCCCAGCAGGACCTGACTCCTTTCCAATCTAGCCACCCCCTTTCTTTTCCCCATCTCCAACTCCCCCGAGGATTAGGAAAGAGGCTCGTCGAACTGGCGCCAAATCCCCCTGCTTGCCAAAGACAAAGCCAGAGTGTTCTGCTCTGCCCATGCTCAAGGTCACGGCCACACTCCCAAAAACAACAAAGCTTTTATCTGTCGGATGCAAGGGCCTAATAATGCGCTTGCATACAACACAGCACCCCTAAGGAATTGGGCACACATCCCATACAACCCACCAGGAAAACACATAGTTACATGAAATAACAGGGAGTGTGCAGGCAAGCTGGTGCTAATTAATCATAATGTAAACTGATACTGTAGTGCAGAAATATTAACAAACTGTTAAGTCACACTTAAGTTACATTATAATTGACATAGTTGCACACAGCTGTTTTTTTGCCTTTCATTTTAAAAAGAAAAGAATGTAATATGGTTCCATCCTCTACATGTGCAGGTGACAGCAGCTACCCCTTGAGCCTTGGCTCATCACCCCTGTCCCCGGGAATCCTCGGTCAGGTCTGTTGTGGAGCGCTGCATCGGGCTGTTGAAAAACAGATTCCGGTGTCTGCAAAGGCACCAGGCTCTGTATTACCACCCTTCAACAGCCACTGCCATTATTTTGGCATGTGCAGCGCTCCACAACATCTGCCTTGCATCGAGCGAGCCAGAACCGGAGTCAGACTCCGACCCTGAAGTGTCAGAGTTGGAGTCTGAGCCGAGCTCGGAGGGGTCAGCGTCGGCTCCCGAGAGGCTGGCTCCTGCCGGCCCTCCGGTCGGCATTCCGGTCAACCTGTCGGACAGGGGAAAGGCTCTGAGGCAGCGCCTTGTCGCCCGGTTCCAGACCCGCCGCAGACGTGCCCGTGCGGAGCGCCACACGCAAGGAGTCCGCCGCCACGACGGTAGTCCCGACCACCAGGGACACCGTTGGAAAGCCCCTCAGCGCCCTCGCCACGGTGGTGCCCAGCATGGACGCCGCCAGCGACAGCGAACCTCTCGCCTTCACGACTGAGGTCCTGATCGCCAAGGATCCCGTCACATCCTTGCCCTCAGTGAAGCCCCCCCCGTAAAAGCCGTAAAGTGCACACTTCGCTTCCTGCTCCATAGTCATGGCCGTCCACAAGCTACGTACTCTCTTCAGCTCCTACAGCTTGTGAAGTTCATCACACAGGCAGCGCGCTGCCTCCGGATACATGTCGAGTGCATCGCGGTGATATCGATACAGCCTTTTGTTATTTTATGAGCAGAAGGCACGAGACGCAGTCGACAGTGACAGAAAAGGTTCGCAGATTTAGTTGCCAGACCAACAGGTCATCTGGATTGCCCCTGCAAAGAACTGAGGATTGATTTAGACTACCTCTAGAAAGAAATGCTTGCTTTTGCAGAGGTTGCTTTCTTAGTTGCTGATTGAACCAGGGATATTGTTGTCGTGGACATATTGTTTCATTTTACAAATGCTCCATGTTATTATCTCTTTTACGGCACTTCGTCAAAGTTAGGTGATTGTGTTATCTTAAGACAATACAGAGGTAGTTTGTTTCGAAAATTGCTTTATTTCTTAAAGGAAAACCCGTGTGACAACATGGAATGTAATAATTCATTCATGGAAGTAAAACTGAGCATTGACTGGAACCTTGTAAACAATTGGGCAATCTGAAGTATATATCACAGATATCTTGTTGAACACTCTGGTCTTATTTGAGCACAAAAGTTAAATTTCGAAAGGAAAAAAAAAAAAAAATATTCTCTGCCTAGCATACCACCATATAAACACTGGACCACTCTGAAAGATTTATCAGAGATGTTGCTCCAAACATTCTTATTTGAGCACAGCAATAGCAAGTTCTCGAAAGATAAAAAAAAAAATATTTCTGATGAGAGATGCACCATATAAATACTGGGTCATTCTGAAGAAATATATCGCATGTTTTAAGGACAGTATGAAGCACATAGTCTCTAGATTGCATATTGTCAGACATATGACAATGCTACACATAAAAAGCATAAAGGCCAAGTTCAATGCTTACGTAAGACAAAATGAATGTAGCTGCTTTGCAACCCATGACTAGACTGCAGGCCTCTTAAAGGGGCAGACACCCCAAAGGTCGTATTTTTTGTATTGTCTAAAACGATGCAAGTTGCTGTCATAAACACGAAAAAAAAAAAACGCCTCGCGAAAAATTATTTTCCTGCGTGCACGCGCCTTTTTATTTTTGGCGTTTGATTCTCCCGCCTCTCGCCTCTTTTGATTTGTGACGTCAAGAATCATAATATTTAGAAGCTTTGTAGGCGGCATCTTTATAACATTGAATAACGGCAATCCTAAAACATGTTTTTTAACGCAATTGCGAATGCACTACGGCCCTTCTTTTCGAAATACCGAAAATCGGAAGTTCGTTGTGGTGCCGTCTCCTGGATTTGTATCCTCCAACGGAAAACAGGCAACACCGCTCAAAACCGGTCCGCCGGGCGCTCGCTCCTTTCCTCCTCGATTTGGGTCGCCATGGCAAGAGCAGGGAGTTGTGAAAGAAAGTGGACTCTCAGGACTCCGCAATATTTGACGTCGACGCACCGGCGCGGATAGCGCGGGAACTTCGAATTCGGCATTTGGAAATTGTTTTTTTACTTCAAAAATACTGAATTCCCATATTTCGAATTTTGAGGGTAATGTCCCGGCATCGTTTTCAATCGTTTAGGATAATAAAAAAAAATATGATTTTGATGTGTCAGTGCCCCTTTAAGTTCTCAATGAAAGCTTTCTTGACACCTGACAGGAATGAAAGAACACTTCCTTTAGTTAGCGACGGGTTAAGAATTAAACGGAGGCTCCTCCCACCTCTTCCCACTTCAGCAGAGCAAAGGCTGGAGAGGAGCTTGCTTCCTCTCTACTGTTCGCTCTGCTAAAGTGCAAAGAGGTGGGAGGAGCTTCCACTTCACTGTTAACCTGTTGCCGAGTATAGCTGTCGCTGTTCGTCAAACACGAGACATGGCTTGCTTGTGCATAAATCTGTCTGTTGCCCAGCCAATATTTTCTACTTGCTTCACGGGTCATAGCCAAGGAAAAAGGACTAACCCAGCTCTTGGCAATTGCTGTAATCTGACTATTGCGCCAACCTCAGGCTGCAAAATTAAACGGCCGGCTTGGCATGTGTAATAAATAAAATAAATAAATAAATAAATTTAAGGTTTAGTTTCAGGGGGGGCGGGGGTTGTGACCGGGGCTGTGGCCAGGGCTGCGGTCAGGGCTGCGGCCGGAGCAGCGGGGTGGGCCGGGACTGCGGGGTGGGCCGGGGCTGCAGGGTGGGCCGGGGCTGCGGGCTGCTCCAGTGCCCTGCTGGCCAGCAGGAGGAGCGGTTGGAGCAGGGTGCTGTGGGTGTTCTCGAGTCCCGAGGCCGTCCTGTCAAGGTTTCCAGAGATCCGTTCCAGGACCTCCAGGAGCTGAAATGGCGAAGGAGTTTCATTAACATTGGGCAGCATATTTCCATACACCCACAGTCTGCTAAGACCTTGCTCATGCCACAACTGTTTCATTCTGCACCATTGTGGACATGCACTGCTTTCTCTGGCCTCGTGGCAGCACCTTTGTCTGAACCTTGTTAGTTGTAAGTGCGTGTAAGGTTAAGTTTGAGCCTGTACCCGGCCTCGGAACTCCCTCTCCTCTGCAGCCTGGTCCTTGTTCTGCTGCTCCACGGCCTGGATGGCAGCCGCGTCGTGCCGCTCCTGCCTCGACTGCCAGGGGGGTGCGCGAGGCACGGTGGGCCGCACCCACGGCCCCTGGCCTGTTGTTGCGTCTGCCAGGAAACCGAGTATGGGTGATGATGGTGCTCATACCTGAACCACTGATGATAGGTCCCAGATGCCCTAGCAAGAGAGCTTACCTTGTGAGGTGGAGGGCACCAGCTCGGCTGCCATCTGGCGCCTGCTGCTGCTTGGCCTCTCCTGGAAGGGGAATTTATAACAACTCATGAGAACACACAGCCTTGTCTGTGCTTCCCATGTGTTGACCAAACATTTTGACGAGCATACATTCTACTCGGGGGAGAACATTTTGAGAATGCCACCTCAGAGGCATTCTCACTTTTTTTTGACAGCGTTTCCATTGAGTACCTGGATATATGTCTAGTGCTAGCACATCATCTTCCCAAAAATTACAAGCAAGACACCACAGGGATTTATTGCAACAGCCAGGGGCAAGGTGGCAAAAATGACGCATGTCCCTGTTTGAGTGTCAAACATTATATTTCGCCACTACATGGACAGATGCAATGTCTTCCGCTAGAGCTCCTAATATTTGCAAAAGGTCAACGCGTTTCTTAAATGCATCCTCATTGATATTCCGCGGTGCAGCGCATTGGTGCCCGCTGCCCTGCATTCTTTGTTAACATGATGGTAATTGTTGAAGTACGTACCTGCTGGTCGCCCGGTTCATCGGGGACCCGCTCCCCAGGGGCCCCGAGCGCCGAATCTGTGCCCACCAGCGTCAGGATCCTGGCCAGGGACGACGCTAGTGGGCGCACGGTTGAGCTCCCGCCCCCGGTCCTTCTGTTGACAACGAAAACGACAGAATAAATTTCATTGCACTATCAGCAGACTACAAAGATTACCTTGCGGTCTCGTTAAGCTGAGCAGCTCGCTTCCGCGCCTTCATCACGCGCCGGGACAAATGCTCCTTCCACTGCTTGTAGCTCTTGGTTGGAGGCCCCAGCGCGTTCAGGCGCAGAGCGAGCTGCTCCCACAGCCGCCGCTTGTCGTCCCGCGTCAGGGCGGCGGAGAGGTCAGTGACATTGCGCGCGAGCGACGGGTGCTCACACATGAAGGAGAGTAGCTCCTCCTCCTGAGCACCCGTCACTCGCGCGCTCCTCGTTGGTCCCGCCGACCCCTCCGCTGCCCCCGGCACCCCCGGCTCCTCGTGGTCCGACCCGTCCGACATTTTGGTTTGAAGAAGGCGCGTGGCGCACATCCCGCATAATATTGGAACAACTTTCTCTCCAATTAATTTTTAAATGTATTGCAAAAGGACAGAAAAAAGCGGTTCGTTTTAACAACGCACAACAGGTTTTGATTGTTTTTCAATACTTTTACCTGTAATAGAACAGATGCGACGGCCAGCGACGCACATAATTGGTTGCCGTTCCTTCGCTAAACGCAGGATCTGCTCCCCGCGTCGTAGTAAATCCTACCCCGTATCCCGCGCGTAGGGACGCCTCAGGTTACCTCAGGGAATGCGTAGCTCCTTCAGCTCGTCGGGGGTTGGCTCCGGACGTCGCTCAAACGGGTGACGGGTGTCAAGTTTGCGATGACGTAGCGGCGTCAAAGTGGGCAGAGCCGCCACGTGAGTGTTCCTCCTTTCCATTACGTCACTTCCATGTACCTTTTCTCATAAAGGCGGGCGCTCAAAATTTTCTTCAGCGTGGCAGAAGATTCCCCTCTTTTCTTTTTTTCCTCCTCCCCTTTCCTCCTCCATTTTTCTCCTCGCTCCTCGCGAGTGCTAATGGGCTTACCGGCCCCCCGACAAAATCTTTGTAACCCTTCAAGGTTCTCTGCTTTAATCCCAAACATCAGGGATTAGTTAGGCAGGCTGGATATGAGCTCGGAAGGGCTCGGGCTGGCTCGCTTTTCTCTTTATTTTTTGCTCCTTTTCTGCAGCTCTAAAACAAGCCCAACAACAAGTTGTTTTACATTCAGATACTTCCGCATGCGGCCACATACGCAGAACACTGCATATTTATCTCGAGTGAACGGAACTTGAACATCCCCGCAGAAGGAAAAAAGATGGGTATTTTTATCTGAACTTTGAGCTCTATCCAGAGAGTTGAAAATTGTCGTTCTAACAACGGTACACTGAGAGTGATTGTATCACTATTGTGTTTTTTTTTGTGTCTTTTTTTGTACAAAGTAATAATCATGAGTAATTACAAGTCAAAGATACTGCAGTCAGAGGGACACAGTCTGACTACCATAATACATAGGTTGGTACTACAGGTGTTTTCTAGAGTGACGGCCGCCTCGTTGAAGCTACTAAGAAGAGCAAAAACAAACTTCCATAAAAGTAAAACGGTTTATGGTATATTTCATCTACCTTCAGCCTTTGAACAAAATTTTTTGTGGCCAAACGTGCATTTAGTTTCTGTCAACAAATGTAACTGAAAACTCGACAGCCAACGAATATCTTACGTATCAGGAAAGAGAACGGGAAACACGGAGATTGAACCGCAAAATCACAATTTTATTCGCGTAAAATAGTGGAACTAGCAATAGTAGCATATTATGCCATTTATTAAAAGACAGCATGTATTACCAAGTTTTCATTCTCTTCCGTTCCTATTTGTTCGCTGATTAAGAAATGGAATGCCCAGATAGCCTCTGCAGCCCTTGCATCACATTTGTTCGGGGCTCTGTCAGGGTGGGCGAAGGCCAGCGACCATCTAAAAAAAACCCAGGAGTTCGGAAAATGTACTGCCGCAAATTTTGGGGCTGCTTGGCTAATTTAGGTGTCTGGCGTTCCCCGCCTACTTAGAAAAGAGGCGGAACAGCGGCCAGCTCAACGTCGTCACCAAGCGGGAAATCATGCCGAAGTGTGTCTTTGAACGCGTGCGAGATCTTTACCCGAACCCAGCCGGGATTGGCCACAATTCCTAATTAATCTATGAAAAAAACTATAAAAAGGGGTAGGCTTAAACGATTTGTCAATTTTTGAATATAGTCATGCGGACTAACTGTCCACAAGTACAGAAAGAAATGCAGTAGAAATGCAGAGCTCTATTGTGTTCTTTATGTCCATACTTGTCTTTCGCGCTGTGCGCCAATTGAAATAAATTCTGAAATATCTGTAGATTATGCCTGGTTATGTTGTCTCTAAAAAAAATAAACAAGCTAGTTCGGTATCGTGCCACCAATTTGTGCAAATACAATTTTATGTGGAATTCAAAGTCAAAACAGTACTTCCGCGGGAAATAATGCATCCGTCGTTCTTCGTCTCCTGAAGCTATGAACTACCGATCTCGGTTACAGGACTTTTGGGTCCACAATATATCACGCTCAGTAGAAAATTCGCCTTTTTCTACCAAAAGTACTGGAAATTATTTATTTTCCAAACAGGTCGGGTGGTGATGCGTGTTTGAGTGCAGGACCGTTGACTGGGTACTGGTTTGCGCCAAGAGTGCAGTGCTTCCTTTCATGCTGCCTGAGACGAGTGTTGAAATTTGAATATAGTAGCAATAAAATCAACTGACACTCTTAGAATTATTTTAAACTTGCGCTTTCTTCAGGCATTAAGATTTTGATCGTACCTTTTATTCATTGTCGTCTTCGATGAGGGAACAACTTGCCGATGAGGCCGCGCTGTCCGCGTGCGCGGCTTGACAGATAAGGTCGCGAATGCTTTTCACGAATCTTTAAAGATCAAGCATAAAAATGAAAGACGCTTACAAATCTCTGTAACGCGAAATTAGAGCGCAGCCACTTCACGCCAATGAAACCAACTTAATGTTTTGGGCAGACGTCTTGCAAGGGTTGTAGTATTTTTAATTATGGCTAGCTAATAAATTAAATGTTTAAAACTAAGTATAAAACTTTTTTAAATGTATTAAGAACCGAAATGTCAATTGGAAAGTTCTAGATCTGCTTGAGAAACACCCGAATTAGCTGTTTGCAAAGTGATACGGCTCGCGTGGCTACCTTCTGACTAAGAATGAAGCTTATGAAACATGACGAAATACGCCATGATAAAGCGCCCTCCCCATCATAAACTCAAATTACACTGATCCTAATTTGTTTTCATAGGCCGGAAAAAAGAAAAAAAAAAAGAAAAGAGATGCATGCAAGACGCGTGCCCCACGCTTTATTTATATCAAAAAAGAACTGCCCTCTGTCTTATATACAACATTGTTTTTTTGTTTTTTTTTCACCTACTAGATATTAGAAAAAACGTGCAAATTAACGTTTTGTGGATGTGAGCTACACGGCCAAGCGAAGATGGGGTTCAAGAAAGAACGCAACAAAAACCGACTGATTACCTAACATTTGTTAATGAACTTCTTGATTATAAAAAAAACGGGATAGTTGATTTATAAAGTTGTTGGGCATAATCGAAAGCCACCAAATTGTCCAGTGAAAACCAGCGCCATTGCGGTTTGTATAGGTGAGCTATACGGCCAGGCGAGGATTAGGTTCAAGAAAGAACGCAAATAAAACCAACCGATTGCCTAAAATTTGCTAATTAACCTTTTAATTAGAAAAGAAAACGGCATCGTGTATTTAGAAAGTTGTTGGCTATAATCGGCTGCCACCAAACCGTCCATTCTTAAAAAGATGTAACGCGCGTACACTATTATACGGCGCCCTGATACGGCGTCCTCCTAATTTGGACGCAAAGATATAGTTCTGATTTTATGTGGGCGCCATCTCCGCGTGGCACAGCCTAACGCCATGAAGCCAAAGCGACAAATCATGCGCATCGCTGTGACAACGCCACTGTAGAAGGGGCGACGAGTGCGGCGGCCGAAATGATTGCGGTAACACGATTCGCGTCCAAATTAGGCTTTTTAGGACGCCGTGAGCCACTTCACGTGCACTACATCTCTTTAAAAATGAATGATTTGGTGTTTTTGATGACTACAGATAAGGCACAAACCGGAATTGCGTAACTCTGACGTCTTTTTTAGAAAAAAGTCTAGTCGTTAAAAAAATGTAAAAAAAATCGCCCTATATAAGCACGATTGTAAGGAAGTTCTTCACGCCCGGCGACATCATTACGGTATGGAAGGAGACGTTGACCACAGATCATACGCTGTGTATGATCTGTGGCATAGCCTCCTCTATACGGAGAAAGCCTGGCACATCGACGACGGAGCCATAGAGCGCGCGGCCGCAGGAAAAAGGAGAGGAGGAGCGCGCCGAACGGTGACCCATATGGTAGCGCAGAGCAGAAAGGGCAGACCTAGACAGCGAGCGCTTGGGTCGTGAGCGGCCGCTCCCCGAAACACGCTTGTTTTTCTGTTTTCGTCACCGTCGCTTTTGTACTCCGGGAGAAACGGGCGCGGCGATTCGAAAGGGCGCAGGGAGAAACGGGAAAGGGTGGACGTTGAGTTTCTCCTCTCCACGATAGCGACAAGAAAAGAGAGAGAGAAAAAAAAATTGTTTCTGCGTTTGGCCGCTCGCTCTTTTGTGGCGCTAGCAGACAAGGTTCTGAGCCCTTTGGATCGGGCTACCGCCCGATCCAAAGGGCTCAGCCGTATTCATCCATCCATCCATCCATCCATCCTCTCCGCTCAACTTTCTCCTCCCCTCCTTTCCCATTCACGGCGGCCGTCTTTTCACGCGACGCGCCAGGCTTTCTCCGTATAGAGGAGGCTATGTCTGTGGTCACTGTTTTTTTTTTTTTCGTACGAGAATGAGCAAATATTTGATACCAAATAAAATAGATTTAGCATTCACCAAATTCGGCTTGTTTACTTGATTCAAATCGATATTTGATTTTATTACACTTATTTTGTACCCGCACACGCCTACTTTATTCCGTAATGAGTTACAATTAATAATTACATAGTTTTTTTTTTGTCGTGCGAGGTCATCACAAAATATTATTAACAATTGGAGCTGTGCGATTACGCGGAGGAGGCGCATTTGAAGATATTCAAAATTGTACTGAATACACAAACAACTTCAAACGTCTTGCTGTTTGGGTCCTTTCCTACACGCGGGACCAATAATAAGCCAAAACCTTATACAGGAGACTATCTTTATAAACTCAACGCGCAAACACGATGTGAAGCGTGTCTGCGTACGTTAGAAAAGAGATACCGGCCAGCAAACCATAGCGTCCAATGTCCATGCATCAAAATGTCCGTGCACCGAAATATCCGCGCACCGAAAAGTCCGACACCGATAAGTCTTTGCAGCAAAAAGTCCGTACACTGAAATGTCTGTGCACCAAAA